GATTGATTGGTCCATACAGAATTTTCAGTTTATCCATACACTAGCACTTCTATTATGAGAAAAGCATAGACTGTGTCTTCCTACACAGTAACAAAAAAGTCTTTATCAAGGCCAACTGTAGCCCAGCCAAACTCTCCTTGAAAACAAGACCACTGTGGCTTCAGCCCATTTCATGAATGAGTGGGAGTTATTCCACACTAGTTTTGACAAAATGCTTTTAGTCAAATCTGTGACTGTACTTGCAGAGCCTGCATTTCACTAACTCCTGTGCTTCCATGCCTTCAGCGGAAAGTGTGTGTGCTGCGTATCTACCTACCAATGAGGCCATGCCTACTGATCATGGCTTTGCAGATAGAACTGTAATACTCTTTCTGAATGTAACCTTAATTGCCACTCAGTCAAGGTATTTGAGAATAATCTGCTGCTTTCAGTGTTTAATCTTCTAGTGGATCCCTAACGTGAACCTTCTAAACAACACAGGGACTGACAGACTGGCTCTTAACAGAGCTTCTTAATCTCCTCAATCATTTTGTGCAGCACAATGACATCCTGTGCTCGAATGAGCGCTCATGTTTCTGGTGTGGTAAGAATGAATATTCCTAGAGAAGTCCCCACACAATAAAAGACATTAGTAAAAGAAAACATAAAGGAAGAAGCACAGAGCAGCAAGTCAGTAATATCTTAGCACCTGCACTCAGACACCAGAAGTTACAGCTCAACCTTCAAGTGATATGAAATACACTAAGATAATCCATAGAAGAGGAAAGCACTGATAATGAGTTTTGTACCAAAACTCCTTCCTCTATTCATAAGGTTTCTTTGCTATGTACTAAGAACTTCTGTAGTTCACTCATGTTCTGTACAGATGGCTCATTGTAGCTATTTCTGTAGACAGATTTCTCAAAGAACTGTGTCAAGTTGAACTGCCTCTGGTTGAAAAAGAAATGTTCCAGCAACAATACACTACACGCGTACTTACTTGTTTGGGAGATGGAAGGAGATAATCTATTTACTCAACATCTTGGAGCAGGGGTCCTTTAAAAGTTCTAAAGGATAAGTATTCTTTCTTACCCATCTTTACTTGGGATAGTTTGCTATAGGGGAACTTGAATCCATTGCCTGGTTGCAATTGCTCTTAAATGCTTAACATCAGGTCAATTGAATGGCTTGCTACAAGACTTAGAGCTGAATTTGTTTCAGTTCTGACTTGTATGTAAAGTTATGATGGAAGATACGAAAACCATTATTTGTGCCTGTTAAAAACTTACCTACTGGCAATGTTGAAGCTTGGCTTTCAGTCTAATTCTTGTTCATATGAATCCAGAAGACAAAGTATCTTCTTCCTATAAACAGACTAAGTCTACTGAAGTCCTTCAGGCTTTATTCAAATTACCTGATTTCTGAAAGCTAAATAGCAGAGTAGGATCAACACTATGGTAAGAAAAATATACGCCTTATTAGAATGAAACTATTTCAGGCCTTTCATAGGCAACCCTAATAATCCTGAGAGCATCAGATCACACTTCTTTATAGGTATATGGAAAAAAAGACAACTCCAACAGCTGTGGGTATTGAGGTACCTCCATGCTTTTTACAGCAAAGCCTGAGTATGATCTAAGGCTGGGATTCTTCTAAAGGGAAACTTTATCTAGAGGCAGATTTGATCAAAACTCATGTTTTCCAAAAGGCAGCTAGGTTACTTAGGCTCTTTAAAAAATCCTTTCCCTAGGGCTCATCCACTGGGCTGTTTAGGCTGGCTATTTTAAGAAGCAGAAAACTGCCAAGTCAAAAGCAAAGAATTTGTTTCTAAGAGAAGCAAGGAAAAGACAAAGAGCAAAAGTTAACACTGCAGATCACTGAAAGCTTCAGAGTACAGAACAATTGTTTTAGAGAGAGCTAAAAATACGTTCTATGAGCACTTGCTCTTCTGCCAAAGGCATGCAATACATTGAGAAACATGTTAACAGAATCAAAATATTTACAATACTAGGAAAAACAGTATCTGCTTTAGAAACTTATTATAGCTGGTTAAGTCGCAACAACATTTTTCATAATACAGACAAAAGATTATCAACCACAGATAGAAATGAATATTGGCTTTGTTGCCAACTTACACTAAAACCGGAAAAAAAGACACAGTATGTTTTCTCTAGATCACATGGTAGTTACCTTGGTGTAACTATCCGTATAGTTATAAAATACAATTTCCTTTCTAATCCTCTCTTTGCTATGTAACAGAAGTGAGTTGTACTGGAATGCCCTCTGAAAAAAAGAAACAGAAGGGCCATGCAAATAACTAGGAAGTCATCTGGCCTCACTGTAATCTTTAAAAAACTTTGTTCTCTAAACACAAAAAAATTCTCTGCTCAAAATTCAATACAGTCTTCATATGTATGTAGAAAACTAAACATTTGTAATGATCAAACTTCAGAGAAACTTCCATGGAAAGTGTCAGCTTCTTTCCTTTGTTAATTTCAAGCACTGGACAATATATTTTTTTTAAGGGAAAAAAAACACAGAGAGCTGATTGATATCATGAATAGAGTGACAATTCACTTTAGAAAATCCAAGTTCTCTTGCCTTATTAAGCTAGTGCCGAAACAGTGTCTGCAGCAACATCAACAGTGCAGCTGTGGGCCTGCCAATACTGGCTCCAACTGTGAAAAGCGGTTTTTCTTTTTTAAAGTCTTTTCTTCACTTTTTCCTTTCTAAAAACACAAACCAGCAGAAAACAATTAACTGCTTTGTACAGTTGTGAAGCAGAGGAATCTACATTTTATTTTGTAGCACAATTGCTATTTGCATACTAACCTAGCAAGAATTTAACTTAAAGTGACAGTATTTTGCAACATTGGAGCAACAACTTGTTCAGCAATAATGAAATGCCAGCTTCTGCATTTAATTTATTTTTTTAATTGCACTCATCTGTTTTAAGCCAATAAAGGAAACCAAAAAATCATACAAGAAGGTGCCAGCCACTTTTGTGCCAATAAAAATAAATACTGCCTTAAAATATGGCCCAAAACTGAGATTACTTTATGCTTTAAGAAGCTTAGTATTCTTGCATAGTTTGTTAAATTACAGTAGACAATTCTCTTTAAGAGATCAGTAAAGCAGCTAAAAGTGGCAAAAGTGCATTCAAAGTGCTAGAAATGTTTGCGCTATGTTCCTTGATTCATTACCTGCAACTTCAATTCCTTCCCCCTGAACATCTCCCTTCTCTCCATGCTGATGAAAACCTGGAGCAGAGCAAGACAAACCCTTGGTGCTACAAGCTGGTTCTGTAAACCAGTGTGGCTCAGCTCATCTTGCAGTGGGTCTCCTGGACATGCGTTTCCCTTCCCTAAAAGGGAAAGTGAGCTGTAACAATTATTAAGGATTAACAGATGAAGTCATACGACTCTGCAAGTCTTCATCTTGCAGATGCAACAGCATCATCTGCATCATCTGCATCATCAATTCATCTGCAACAGCAGTTGCTTCTATTCTTCTCTTCCCAAAGGCATCAACAAAAAATATTTGCACTTCCCATCCTCCTCGGTGATACATCCTCCATACCTACCTAACTTCTTTCCTCCAAAAGAATCCATTAAAAAAAATAAACAGGGGGGGAACCTAACAGATCCTTTCTGTCTGTTAATTATGGCCCAACCTTCAGCCCATCTTGCGCAGTTTTGAGTACATTACAGTGGGATGTTTTTGCTCTATTCTCTGCAACATCTAACACATCAGAATACTGCCCTCAGTCGACCTTGTAACATGCTGTAACACATGCATCGCCAACACTTGATCCAACTTCTCAGGTGCTGTAGTAGTACAGGAAGAACAGACAGTCAAAACAGCATCCATGAAACCGCACAAAGTTCAAGTGTCAGCATTGTCTCAGAACAGGGACAGTTCACAGGCATCTCAGGACTGATCTACACATCAGAATCTCATTTTGAGATGCCAAAGAACAAGAGGATATACTGATGTTTCTGTCTTCATTAAACATCTGTTCAAGCTCACCTTATATGGCTCCAAAAAGCCTTAACTTGGTTCCTTATGGTGTTACAGTAACTTTAAAATGTTGATGCAGTACTGCCATGTCATCAAGGCTGGAAGATAAAAACTTAAGATTTGTCTTAGTAAATTTGGAATTTTAAAGACTTATAAAATACATTAACATAGCATAAAGCGAGCCCTAAAACAAGTACTGTCACACTTTAAATCTAGAACACATTCAATGGGAATGGATATTATTAGGCACTGTATAAAAATCTAGTAAAGTGAGCTAATAGTACCAGAATAATCACTAGAGCAACATGTTTTGTCTGAGAGCAACTAGAAAACAAACAAACAGCAGGTTTCCACACACATGCTATTTACTTACAAGGCTTGAGAAGAGCTGACGTCTTCTCATAATAGAGAAATCAATACAGAAATAATAAGACTCCTACCTCAGTTAAAGAATTAGGCAATCAATGCCAGATTACAGCTCTCCCTAGAACCCCTCACAATAAAAAAAAGAGGTGTAACCAAAAGTACTTATATTTGAAAATTATAATACATGAAAAACAGGAAAATCAGTTCTTAATAAAGGCACATTTGTTAATGCTTGACTGTTGGTATCCCATTGTCATAACTTTCTAGTAATATTAATTCCAACAGTTCAGAAAATACAGTAGGTACCTCCTATTCTAGAGAGCAGTGTTTGAAAGTTACAACGAGCACCAAAGGTTGGAGTTGCAAAGATGAAATTAAGAGTAGCAAAGACCAGAACTAGCTACTGGTTAATGTATGGAACCAGGAAGTAGACATAGGGGTGATGTATGTATTCCTGTAGTAATGCTTCACTATTCTTCTATGCCTTATTTTCTAGTAGATAAAACAGGCAGACACTGCCTCTAGCAAAGGAGATTGTTCAGTAAAGAAATATACACATACATTTTGAAAACAGGATTTTATTGGGAGCTTATCAAAAACGTCCGAATCTTATTTCGAGGAAGGCACTTCAGACTTTAGTCCCTTTTCTTTTTAGCTTTGGGTTCTTCTGACAGCTGAGATAATTCACTTTCTTCAACTTCACAATGCTTTCTTTTCTTTTTCTTTGACTTTTTGTGGTCACTTTGGTAACCACTGGAGTCACTGGTAGGCAATACATGTTCCTGTTCTTCCTGTTTATGTTTTTTATGTTCCTGTTCTTCCTGCTTATGTTTTTTCTTTTTCTTCTTCTTCTTTTTATCATCAGATACTTCATTCACAGATTCAACACTTTGCTCTTCTGCATTTTGCCCGCCACTGTTATCCATCTCACATAGAGGCTCCTCTGTGACATTATCTCCCCCACAGTCATTCAAGCCATTTTCCTGATGGTCAAAATGTTGACTTTCATCTCCATTTGTACTGTCAGTGATGGTCTCAGATTGTTTGGGCTTCATGCTGTAAAGAAATATATAAAATAAGCTGAAGCAAAAACATCTGAGGGTACCTCACACCGAAATACCAAAATTTGCTAAAACACAGTATTTACACATAGAAAAAAGCTAAACATTTGCCAAATACATGTGGCAAACATAATACTCTAGCCAATTTAATACCTTGAGCTTAATTTCTATTACTTGACTAGCTTCCTTCTTCCTACAGAATCAATATTCTCTTTCAAACCTTAACCTCAATTTCTTCACAAAAATGTTGTACATGCCATTTCGATATTTCCTCTTCTTTTCTACTCCTTTGCCCACTAATTCATAATTATACACTGTGTAGCAAACTTGTAAAATAAAATTATTCACAAGCATGTGCAGACAATGACCTGTCCAACCATACATGAGACACTGCTTGGTAAAATCACCAAGGAATTCCCTTGCTGAGGTCGATACAGGTAAAACAAGTGATGCCAGAAGAAAAAAAACACAAACACAAACCAAAATTCAAAAACCCAGCATGAACCTCACAACTGAGAGCACTGGAGAAAATGCCTAGGAAGACAAATATGGAAAGAACATAGCTAAAACTATGGAAGATGAGATACCCCCAGATGTAATGAGAACAAAATCATAAAGTTTCTTTCCAAGTCTACTAAAACAGTCCAGAGCATCCCTCCAGATTAAAAAAAATTAAAAACCAAAAAAAACAACCCCCAAAACCCACGAGACGGGTTGTGATTTTGTCAGCAGTAGTCATACTGTATGTTTAATTTTAAAAATAACCTTGCTGATAGAAAAAAAAAATTACTCAGCAAATAACCTTTTCAAAGACCATCTAAGTGAACTCTTTTAAAGATAACACTACTAAGATTTTTAGCAAGCTGCTCTAAAATTTTACAGAGACCTAAGTGAAAGGGAGGAAGGTGATGCATTTTCTCCTATAATCTTGTATATAAACTAGAAAGCTTAAAGATTAAGATGTTAAATCAAATAATTTAGCTTGTTACAGACCCATTAAAACAGCCTTCAGCGTGGCACAATACCTGCTTTTTGTGAGTCCTCCTCGAATGAAGAACACTCCAGCTGCATCAGAATCCAAGTGCAGTACTTTAAATTTCAGCTCATCCCCTATTTTTAACCCCAGCTCTTGCCACTGTACAATCGACATTTGTTCAGGTTTCGGTATAGAAGCATTGAAGCATCCATGTATCAGGCAGCCAATGTGACTAGGGGCCACCTTATTAATGACACCCTAAAATAGAAAAGGACATTGCATGAAGCTGTAGTAAGGATCAACTCTTTTTAGTTTCCCACATGGCAACCTTTCTACAAGGTTTTATAGGCACAAGTTACAAAGTTGGTGCATCTTGCAAATAAGCTAACACTTCTTCACTAACATCAAAGATATTCCAAAGATATTCTTCATACAATTCCTCCCAAAATAGTAATGAACCCGTATCTTCAGGAGAAAGGCAAAGCAGGGGACTTTGCCACAGGGACTACCTAAATAGATCAGGTAACTCTTTCTTCACACCACAGCCATCAACTTTGCTTGAAAGCAATTTTAAGTCTGATTTCCTTGCCTAAAACAGCTGTCATGCTGGCACAGCGCTAAAGAGCTAAAGATGCAGGTTAAACATAAAAAGCCTTCAATTCTCCATCCAGTGGGTTTCCGATACACCTGCACGTCAAAAGCTGCCCACCTTTGCCATGAAAGGCACCGGGAGTTTTTCCAGTCTCTTCCTCACATTCATCTCTCAGTCACATTTAGAAATACACAGAAAGTTATGGCACAACAAGGAATGTAAGCCAATTCTCAACTTATTCTTCCCACAAGTGCTGACACAAGGGTGCTGACAAGCTTACAGCTGTCCTGTGAGCCATCCACGTCCTTTCACTGAAATGCAGGCTTCAGCTTGATGTACTACTCTTGAACTTGAGGGAAATATACTCACGAGAACATCCTCAACATCCCTGGCACTATTAAGTAAGAACAAATACACCTGTCTGAGAATTATCTGCTCTTCAGAAACATGTACTGCTGTCAATATATAAATATTATATACAAACTTATGACACAGTATTCGATAATACATGAAACTTAATGTACAATATTTTAATATATGAATGTTATATATGTAACTTTAACAAATACAGGGACAGACACTATAGGCAACTAAAAATAAATACTACTACCAACTGCTCATAAACTACTTGTACTAAACATGATTCCATCCAAGTCCCAGACCTCTGCTGATGACGCAGATAAGCCGAGCTCCGATTACTTAGCACAGCAAGCGTCCCGTGAGGTGCCAGCGCGCTCACTCACCACCAGTTTTTTCCCTTTCTTGGGGCTGAAGATGACGAAGTCCGCCTCGATGTTCAGGTGGATGAACCCTTGGTCGTCGTAGATGTCCCCGAGCTCACCCACCACTTTGATGTTGTCGTAAGCGACGGGCACACCCTGGAGGCTGCAGAACGAGAGGGGCGGCGGGGGGGTCAGCTCA